TGGCTTAGCTAGAAAATGTTTGTAATTCATGGTGAGGTCTGTGATTTACAGTCTATTCAATCTTTATAGGAAGCCATGCCGGGATGCATTCATACTGTACTGCTGCTGGCCGACAGAGATCTGGCTCTACGCATGGAGAAAACCTCTTCTATACAGGTAATGCACAATTACTACTGATTACCTACCTGTAACTTAGCATGGCGTTACAGTTATGGTAACACCCCAACAGCTGTAAAAATTACAATATCTTCACAATGGTGTTGTTTTATTTGTATTTAATTTGTGCAGGAAGGATGGACAACTGAAATGTAAATCTATAGTTTACTTTATAGGAGAGGAAATGATAACTGCCAGCTTTGATCTTCAGGTTTTAGAGAACAATGTCAGTTTACTGAGAGTTTCTAGTTAGTGTCAAAGTAAACAAGTAACATCCTCTAATAACATGTGTTTGAATAGGATTGTTTCAGAATATAGTGACATCCTTTCAGAAACAAACAGCATCCAACAACACACACAAGGCTATTTTTACATAAGTGTCTGGACTAACATGCCACTTATGCCTGACAAATAGAGATAGAGTGTGTAAGAGACAGTTGAGAATGTCACAACAACAGGACAGATAATTTACCCTAGGCATCTATCTATGCTATTAGAACAGCCATTGCAGCATGTAAAGTGTTTATGATAGCACTGTTATACATGTTTGTCCCCATTGAGACCTAAAGAGTGTTGTTTTCTCTTGCTATCTGTCAGGTGGAGCTGCTGACATCACTCAAGTCTCTCTATAAACATGTGGACGTTTCTCAGCTTCCCACTGAGTTTGAAGGCACTTTCCCTTATGCACACAGCAGCTGGGTCAGCTTTAGAATGGTGAGAAAATCACAATCTTGAATAGTACAGAAAGCTGGAATACCAATGTTTTGGCACAGATTTTGTACCCTGATTTGCAGTCTAGAATTTAGATTTTAAAGAAAAAATGTTAATTACATATTCCTTATCTTTAATGTAATTTATTTTTAATTTGTAATGTTTTTTATTTCAAATATTTACATAAACCCCTTAGCACACCCATGGGGCAGACCCCAGACCCAGTCTAAAAATCCCTGGTTTGATGTATGATGCCTACATTTTCTGTAATCTTTATAGACTACTTAGAGGGATGTAAACAAAAACATGGTCCCAACGTATTTCCTACTTTACATTTTTGATTTATATAGCTTCAGAGAATCCAAAAAGAGCCACATATTGATAAGTAATGCTATGACGGCTGTTTTAACATCAAGTTATGATCGAATTACCTCTTGTTACAGATATGAAATAGTTTGATAATAAGCAGGAAATGTTCATTAGCCAATGACATCACCACATTGAAATGGTCTTGAGTTGACCTATAGGATGGCCTAATGTTTTTAAATCTTTTCCGTAGTGTATTCTAGCCTTAAATTAAATTTACATACCAGTTCAATTAATGAAATGTTCATCCACATTATAATAAAAACATGTGTTCAGTGGTTTCAATGCATGAATATTGACACAAATTAGGATATAATTAATTTACTGTGCAGAAATATACTGTATATGCATATATTTGATAACAAATCTGGCATTTTTTCAAATTCTTTGTTGTAGATACCATAAAACATTTCTTTTTGCTCTATCTCAGAGGTTGGAGCAGTTGACCAGTCATTGTGAAGATGCTGTGAGCCTGCTTCAGAACACCATAAGCAAACTGGAGTCCACAGTGCTGCCCCCTACAGCAGAGGTAAAGCAACATTTAACAAATCACTTCTTTTAAAACAGCTCTACTGAATACATTCACAGACAATGAAGGAGTCACAAATCCATCAAAAATCAGACAACTATTTACATTTATATACAGTAATTTTATCTAAAGGAGCTCACATCGCATTCAAAGTATATATTTTCACTCCTTTCATTTTCTGAGAATCCAACCCATGAACTTGGAGCTAGTCTAATAGCATGCTGTTCTGTTTGAGCTACAGGGATGTATATATTGCAGGTAGTTTCGTCTGTGAACCAGTATGACCTCTGTAGTTATGTCTTGTGGAGTCTTTTTATGAGCACCTGTAGTCGTCAGTGTGACATTGAACTCTGCCTCAGGAGGGCATCACCATGGCACTGAAGTCTTCTATTCTGAGCCTAATGGACTTCTGTATCCCTGTAGCACAGCAGTGGCACTGGGGTCCAGTTACAGTCATTTAAAGACTTTTCTATTTAGAAGTGATGTCACGTTTGGACAAAATAGACTTGAGTTTGTGTGTGGTTGAGGTTAGTGTGTCAAGGTTTTGACTGAATTGACCTCTGGCTGTCAGCTGAGGTCATGAAGGACCTTTTTATCCACAGGCTTCTAGGGAAAAAAAGCAGGGCCTCAAGAGAAATAACGATCTCCCAGAGGAGTGTTTATCTGCAGCCATCTTTAAAATCACTTACCAAGGGTTTATTTGAAGAGCTGAATGGGTTCGGTGGATGAGGGTATGGATTTCTGCTTGACTTTGTGCTGAATGCTAAAACAGCCCCTCCTATGGATAAAGTGATGCTTAGATGTTAAATGAATGGAAAACCAGAACAAGTCTTAGCCTGTGCTCTCATCTTTTTGCTGTTTCTTCTTTGTCTGTCGTCTTTGTCATTAATCTTGTGTCCCTGCTTCTTCATGCCTTTTCACCACAGTTCTTTATTTATTTTCTGCCCTATACTTTCCAATAAACCTCACTTATCTACTTTATTGACTTCGTTTAATAGTTAAATAGACAGCATCTATGAAGATAGTTAATGCTTTTGAGTGAATAAAACTGCAAATAGACTTTTACAAACACACAATCATCCAGTGACATTTGTAATTCATGTAATTGCTCTCCGGTTTTATCCCACTTCACACACACTAATTAGGGTGTAGACGCATGACTGTAATTATGAGATTTTCATCACTTGGCATACTTTTTCAACACTTTTTCATTGCTTTTGTTGAGGTTCCTGATGTTATTTGGCATTGATATAACGTTTTGTTGTTAGCTCCTTAAAGGCTCCTCCACATAGTGTTGCAAAACCACCATCTGCTTCATTAGGTAGCTATTATTGATGCTTTTATAGGTGGTACACACACAAAGAGACCGTCAACTCGAAAAAAACCCTTATAGTCACTATTATGTCTTTACATTTTAATTAAGATGTATTTACAAATGTATAAGTCTTGTTTATTAGCAAGAATCATTCTCACAAGTAGGTTTAGGCATTTGTAGAGAAATGTAAACATGCATAAAGTCATGTAAACTAGTTTAAATGTTTTACTCTTGAACTTATTAGTAGTGCTTGTGATGTTTGAATTACTTGTACACCATCATTTAAACATATATGTGTTCATTTAAGTAATTGAGTTTTTAAAAATACAAGTATGTCTTAAATTTACTTCTCATCACTGATACAAATTGCATTTCAAAATGTTAAAATAACAAGAAGTTATTTTAAGTTGTTATAATATTTAATTGACTCAAGTCATATCAGTGGCAAAGTGAAACTGTATTATTTTGCCAAGAGTAGTTTGTGTTGAAATTATATTTATAAATGCAGTATAAACTAAAGATCATGTGCATTTGTCTCTATTTTGAGCACTTTGTCATTATCCTGCATTCACACCAGGTTCAGTATGTAGAATGTAAGACATGTGTTGTATTGTTGACAAGGAAGATAAATAAAAGCTAGCTACAAGTACAGCCACACAAGCGCACACACCTGAAGGTGTGGCAGTTTTGTGTATTACACAGCATTCTGTGGCTTAAGCTCATTTTATCATTTAATGAGTACAAACATGAGCTGAACGGGGTGTAGATGTCACTTAATGAATAATAATGAATGCTTTGGTGTATGAGAGTGTGTACAGGTAATGTATTTGCTGCGGGAGCCGCATGTATAACTGTACTGGTTGTGTCAAAGTAGTTTTTTAAGACAGCAATATAATGATGGGGTGTGTGTGTGTGTTTATGCTGGAGAATAGACAGATTTTACTCAGTAAGAACACTAGATAACATGTGTATGTGTAATAATAGGTGTGTGTGAATGTGTGCAGCTGTAGAAGAGTGTTTTATAATAATGTTTGTGTGTGTGTTTGCAGGAGGCTCAACTCTTACTGTGTAAGTACAGAGAGCTGATGAGGACGGTTCTGGAGGACAGCAGGCTGGTGCGACTACAGTTGGAGGGAGGAGCAGCTCTGTCCCGTTTACGAAAAGAAGAGACCAGCGTTAGTCTCACAGAGGACTACAGGTGAGGCATAAGTGTTCAGACAACACCCGTAACTGACTGCGCAAATCACACGTACCTAAGAGAAAAGCTAATAATATAAAGCTGTTTCAAAAGGAGGATAGTTCACCCAAAATATTTCATTTACTCACTAATAACTCACCCTGAAGTGGTTTCAAACCGTTTTGAGTTTCTTTCTTCTGTTGAACACTAAAGAAGATATTTTGATGAAAGCTGAAAATATTTTTACTGTTGACTTCCATAGTAGAACAAAAAAATGCTATGAAAGTCAATGGTTGCAGGTTTCCAGCTTTCTTCAAAATAATTTTTGTGTTAAACAGGTTTGGAACAAGTAAAGGGAATTTTCAGTTTTGTGTGAACTCTCTTTAATCATGCCAGCTTCTAAAATAACATTTACATTTTAAGGCAGCATGACGTGTACTTTGCACCCCCACAGTGTCCTTTACAATCCCAGATTGCACGACAACAACCACAGTTGAAAAGATGAATCCTACATGATTGAAAAAACAAAAGAAAGTTGATTACTAAAGCTTTAAATCAATTTAAATAACTAAAACTGCCTTTACTTTGTCAAATATATGGTAGGTATAGTGAAATAAGTCTCTAAATTAAAATGGACATTTAAAAAAAGGAAAAAAATGTTTTCTATTTTACTTAATTAAAAAATAATTGTTGGCAAAGCTGAATTTTCAGCATCAACACTCATATGACTCTTCAGAAATCATTCAAATATGCTCATTTGCTGCCCCAAAATTGATTTAGTTGGATTTGCTGCTGTTGAAAACAGTTGCTGCCTTTTTCAAATTTTTTTCAGATTTTTTTTCGGAAAGTTGTTTAACAAAGTAAAAATCTTCAATGTCAGTTATATTGTTTTTAATGTGTCCTTTAAATAGCCCCAAATTTTAAAACATTAGAGTTTATGTAATTCTTTGAGTACTCAAACTGCATTTCAAAACTATACTAAACTATAAATGACTATTTTGTGTGGTAGGTGGCTCAGTGGTTAGCACAGTTGCCTTACAACAAGAAGGTTGCTGGTTCAAGTCTCGGCTGGGTCAGTTGGCATTTCAGTGTGGAGTTAGCTTGTTCTCCCTGTGTTGGCGTAGGTTTCCTCCGGGTGCTCCCGTTTCTCCCACAAGTCCAAAGGCATGCAGTACAGATGAATTGAATAAACTAAATTGTCCATAGTGTATGTGTGTGCATCTGAGTGTGTATGGGTGCTTCCCAGTGATGGGTTAAGTCTGTGTGTTTTATGTGAGTTTCTGCCTATTTTTACTATAACAAATGAGCCACTGATCAAGTCTTATTTCAGCAAAGATGAAGCCAACATAGGCGGTAGTCAACGAGGTAGCTAACTAGGTTTTTGACCTTAATTATATAATTACATGAAGTATAAAAGCAGTTTGACAATGACAAACAAGAGGGATAATGAAAGCGAGAGGGAAAACAGTGTTGAGAGCGTGGGAGAGCATGTTCAGGCCTCTGATGATCGGGGCTGGGTTCAGCTGGAGGTTGAGGGAGTGTGAATGTTATTTCCCATCGCTGAGCCAAGAGAAATGTCTTTATCTGCACACAATCATTTCATCCTCAAACATGCACACATAATCTCAGAGCTAAACAGACACTAATATGCACATGTGTCTGTCTCTGATAAGGTGCTATAGTTTGGATGCTGCAGGGCTCTGGTGCTGCTTCCTGTTTGACTTTGTTTAAAACACACAGGCATGTCTGCGCTGGCTTACTAGAGGGCATTTTCAAAGCCTCCTGCTCAGACACAAACACTCTAGTCGGTGTTTGTGAGGGTCTCCACTGATAAAGACTCGCTGGGTTACTCTTAAGGTCCTTGCACACTTAAGACTTTTTTCTGTTTTCTTCATCTCAGAAACTTTGCACCGTGAGTCCAAAATGTATTAATTAATACATCGTAGAAAACAAATGCAAATAAATAAATAATTATTAGTGATATTCAAGCAGTGAGGATGATTTATTACCCTCTTTTTTCATAAAAAGAGGCAATGTTGAGTTTCCAGGCCTGGGATTGCATAGAGTTTAGAAATAGAGTTTCACCTCCTTAAGATCCAAAGTTTTCTTCAGGATGTTAGTGGCTAAGTTTGATGTTTTGTTTGGTATTATTGAGCTATATATTAAAGAGGAGACCACCAATTTCTGTGAACCAGTATGTCTAAATTATGGACATGGACACACACACCAAACTAGGTCTGAATTGTGAATTCATCATCCTTAAAATGCATGCTATTGATGCAAAATTCCATAAAATTAAACCATATCTACAAAAATGATGACAGACAACTTGAGGTTGGACTGTTTTTTCATGTGGGAAATCTTCAAAGAGTTCAATAAATTTTAATAGGTTCTAAAGTTATGATTCTTAAAGTTTGGGTTTTGCGAAAGGGTAAATATAATATTTAAAGATGCAGAAGCTAGCCTTTCTAATTTGTTTACCCAATTTATAGTCTTTCAAATCTGGTGAAATTATCATTTAAAGTCTGCGCATGATCTTGAAGTTGCTTATTTGGTGTCTAACAAATGGCAGAATGAGACCTTAGCTGTCTGGGGTTGCTCACACAGAAACTCATCTCCTGAATGCTGACAGACACACAAAGGACTGAATCTCACAGGTGTGACTGAGTCTAAAGTGCTCAACAATAAGTCAACAAATCCGGCCTTTTTGTGTCCTCTTCTGTGTTGGTGACATTGACTTCTTCCCTCACACATAATCCTTTTCAGTCTAGACTTTGTCTTTTTAACACTTCCTTTTGATCCCAAAAATGAACTTTGACCTCTTGGTCTTTTACTGACTTTTTAAAGCTCATCGGTGGTCCTATAGGTGGCTGGTTTGTCTGGGTTTTTTCCCCAAATGGCTATCGATAAGAAGTTTTAATCTTGTTATTCCTTTTTTTCTATCTTCTCAGGAGTCCTTGTCTAACAGTAATATGTAGTTACATATTACATATAGAAAAATAAAAATAAATTATTATAATGACCACTATTAAATGGCTTTATTTTTAGTGATTATTTTTGTCTATCATTATTATTACATTTGGAAAATAAACTCAGAACACAATCACATTGTTTTTTTTAATTAAGTTTGTTAATTAACTTTTTTATACCAAATTTGATTAAAGGTCACATGAAGTGCTTTGAAATGTCACTTTTTATTAAGTGTTTGACATAATCTCTACTGAAAAATGAAGAGAGGGTGGGACACAGTAGCTCCTCCCCTTTTTAAAAAACAGCCAGTGGTGTTTAGTTTTTATCACAACTCTGGCAGTGAGAATAGTTCAGCTCAAGCGCATTAAATGAAAAACAAATAAGAAACATCTTGAATGGGGTGGGGCATGTCAGATACTAGAGAGCATTTGATTGGTTAAGATTTGATGAGAAATTAAAGTATGAGGTCTTGTGGAACAAATTGTGGATCCATTTAGGCTGAAGTGACGAACTTCAAGCTTTACATGTTTATATCAGTTTTATATTTTCTAAACGTAATTTTTGTCACTGTTTTTGGAGCACACTAGCTTATAGATATCCTAACAGACTGAAACTAGCATCTTAAAAATGTAATTTAATTCCATGGACCTTCAATCCACATTACTATGATGGAATGCTTCACTGAGCTGGTAGTAAAGGTTTCTAATTGTTCATAATCCATCTTCAACTTTTATCTCTCTCCGTCACTCTTCCCAGAATGTCTTTGATATCTCCTGCCTGCTGTGATAACCCGTGTTTGCTCTGGGTGTGTGCTGTGAATAATTGGTGGGTTTTGGACTGACTTTGAGGTCACCGATTTGCCCCACATGCCTCTCATTGTGTGTAACAGTGAAATTCTTTCCAACACTACACTTACATCAACTGATACCTTAAAGGGACAGTTCTACTAAATTAAAAGTAATTTTAATGACTTTTTGAATTTAGTGACTCTTTTTGAAAGTGAATAGTGCTGTGAAACTCAAACAAAAAGTATAATGGAGCCATGTGATTTTGTTTTTGCATGTACAAGTATCTAACAGCAGGGGGCACAGTTCAGTGTAGCTGTGTTGTTATGCATGTGCCACATGTCTGCCTGCTCTAATAAGTCTTTCTTGCATCGTTAAGTCTTTTGTTAGTTGAAATAGGAATGTGGCACTCCTCAAAAAATAGTTCTGAATGTTAATATTGATACGGGTGTTGTGTATGGATCAGAGAGTGGTGACTTTTTGAGTAAATAAGTTGGCATATCGTTGAGGGGAAATGTGGAAATGTTTGACTAGAACACAATACAGTATTGTGTAAGTGAACTACAGCAGTGGTGAAGTCATCCAGTAGACATCAAGCTCTGCTGCTGTGCACAGTGTGCATCACACCACTGCCCATTCATAAACGTATACAGAAAATGCATCTTTATTCATGTAAACTCGCAGTTATGTGGTCACACAATCCATCTTTTTATGATATTCTACATGCGCAAACATCAGAACATAGTCAATGACTTCTCATGTAGTTTTCACTCATTTATGGTGTTTTTCTTTCTCATCAACACACATACACACACAAACACTGCTCCATACTGTGTTCCTTTGCCAAATGACTCAGATGACTCAAGCAAACTTGCCCATCCAATTACATTCAATCTCGAAATGCCTCGTCCAATCAATACATTCTGTTTTAGCCAATGAGATAACTGTTGTAACAAAATGTCTTAGCCAATGAGATTCGAGTCCTGGAGTCAGTGTTTTTTCTTCTTCACAGCTCAGTTGCTTGGAGTTTCTCTCAGGGACAAGACAATATGTGGACTGAATGTAATATTCTAAGCAAACCATGTTGGTGTGTGTTTTAGAGATGCCATTGAAAGTGCTGGCCGTTTGTATAACCAAGTGGACGAGCTGGTTCACAGACTGGTGATGCTGTCCAATAAATGCACACAGGAACTGGAATTCATCATGGAGTTTAAGAGCCTGGAGGAGGGATTCAAAGAGGTGAGGACTAACGTTTAAATTTTGAACTCTATTGACCAATGAGTTAACACTTTAAAATGATAGTTCATTAGTAAATGTTAGCTAGTGTATTTACTAACATGAACAAGCAATTAATAATACATTATCATGGTATTTATTCATCTTTGTTAACATTTGTTGATGTTATTTAAGTTAAATAATGTTAGTTCATTGTTAGTTCATGTTCACTCAGTGCATTGACCACTAATAACCACAACTGTTGATGTAATTATACATTAATAAAAACTTTACAAAATTAGTCATATTTGGGACCAGACAGAATCTGCGGACATTTTTTGCTGTTTCTGCTGAGAAGTTTGTAAAAAAAAACGACGGATTTATGTGGAATAATTTTGGGAGTATCATAACTATAAACTAAATATATATATAAAAAACACCTTTTTAAATTTTTTTTAATGTTTACAATGCAATTCGAATTAGATCCACTTATTTAAAATCATATGAACATTTTCATATTAGTCAATATTATTACTGAAATTAATTTAAAAACTGAATTAATATAAATGTACACACATTTACACAAGTAAATACATAGACTCAATGATGGGCTAAAAATCTGCAGATTTCTGTGCGCAAAGATTCCGTGTGTGGCTAGTCATACTTAATTAATGTTAGTATATACATTAACTAAGCTTAACTAATGGACAATTATTCTATAGTGTTACCCCTGTTGACTGTAACTGTAAGAGTTGCATCTGAAACTTATCCTATAATATTATTGTTAATAAGTAATATGCTTCATTGTCTGTTCTACCTTTATGTCTCATACTTCCTCTAAAAATAGATACATTTTAATATTTTGTTTATGAATTAGGATTAGTTTTCTTTAAATATGCACTCATTGAATCACAGGTTTAATGTGGACTTTTAAACACGTTTTTGTTTTAATTTAAACTTGAAAATCAAAGAACAATATATTAAAAAATAAAGGATATTAATAATTTATTAAAATACATCATCTCACCATTTAATGTAATTCATCTAGTTATTTTAATGAACCCTTGAATTTAACAGATCACAGTTTTACCTATAAAGTAATTGGTGATGAGAAAAATCTGATTATGGAAATACATTTTTTTGTTTGTTTGAAAATTTATTGTCCCATTTCTTGGACAACCATGACTTTACCAGAACATATTACAACACAAAAAAATTACATGTATAAAAGAAAATCAAAAAAGTAAATAAGAAAGCATAAATTAGAAATAAACAACCCCTGGTTTAATTAAATAATTGTAACGTTGATACATGTATTAGTAGACAAGCTTGAAAAAAATATTTGCATTGATTTGTATTTGCAAAGTATTCTCTCAACTGTGGATTCTGCTGCATATCTGGCCAGTTTGTGTTTTTTAAGATATTTAAGCCTTTTTTTTTATTTAAAACTTGAAAAATCGTGAATACTGAACTGCTGTCTATGTGCACACGGACTCACAAACAGCCTCACTTAGCTGAGCACTGTCCTGGTGATTTATTCATCTAATTGTTTTAATGGACATATGTGCCCAGCAGCAAAAATCCTGTTGGTGTGGATAAAGCGGAAGTTGCTGAGAAACTGATTAGCCATACACACACACACACACACATACACACACACACACACACACACACACACACATCATGAGAAAGTGTAATTTAGCACCCAAGCATCTGTATCAAATAACATCCATAAGATTGATGTGTTTGTGTGCTCACGTTTCAGTCTACTGCCAAATCCAACTGTCACGAGAACAAAACGCATAAATACGTCATGAGCCATTCTCAGAATAAAGCTGGGCTGTTGCAGGAATAACTGACATATGTTGTCTACACAACTGATTGTATGTAATATGTTGATTGTGTGTGTATGTAGGTTAGTCAGTGGATAGAAGAGGTGGGAGAGTCTCGTCTGCAGACGCTGAGCGAGCTGGAGGATTCCTTGGAGCAGTTACATCATAAGCAGAGCATCTTCAGAGAATTTTACACAGCTGCATATGTACGTCAACTCTTACCACACTTTTTGCAGACAACTTTTACCCTCATCAGATTTTCTTAACAAATGGCTCATAATAGTTTTATTTGGACTGAGAGGTGATATTTTACTGCGGGAGTTAAACATTTATTTAATTGTGTCAACATGGGCTTCAAGAGCGGTTATCGCTGTTTAAATGTAGTCACCTCAGTCGCACCCTCTGCTTTCATACCAGTTGAGTGTGTAATTCGGGGTGTGTGTGTGTGTGTGTGTGTTCAGGAACACTGTAAGAGTGGTGAAGCTCTCCTCAAGCGTTTAGAGAAGTGGGAAGACGTCTCCTCTGCAGAGCTGCAAGTGTATGAGGTGAAAGTACGTTCATTCTGGGTGCATCTGCGGGATTTCTCTCAGCGAGTGGAGGACACCAAGGATAAAATAGACAAGACTGTTCAACTCTATGAGTTCTTTGATAAGGTAAGGGCTCAGTGGTTGAGCATAATATGCATGACAAGTCTCTGTTCTTTCTTTCTTTCTGCAACTAAGCTTACTTTGTACTTTTTTTCTCTTTTTTTTTTACATTCAACATCAGAAATCATTTGACTCCAGCTATTAGGTTAACCTAACCTAAACATAAGTGGCCTATAGCTGTATTATCATAATAATTATGCTGCAGTGTGTGTTTTAACAAATGTTTTTAAAGAGATGTTTTTTGAAAAAATTTTAGACAATTTTTAGAGTATTAGTAATTAGTTGTTGGTTGTCAGATTTCTGAATGAGTTATTATAGGAATCATTTATCCTAAAATGAGTTGTTATTTAATGTACATAGCTAGATTTTTCTCTCTCTTTATATAACACAAGATGTTTGGACCCCATTTAGTTTAGTTTCAACTAAGAAAGGAAGTCAAACCGTTTATGATTTCTACATGTTTGCAGGTAAATGATAAGAAGTTTTTGAGGCTCTACTTGATATTTTCTCGATACTAGAAAAATTTGAACTGGTCTGGTGAATAATGGGAGATTACTCGACACACCAGTACTGATTTTTAATTGTAAGGTGTGTTCATTGTTCACAGTTGTTATCTTAATGCATGAATTTATTCATTTGTGATTAATTTAATCAGTGTGCTTTTCACCAGTGCAGTTTCATCACTTGGGTTTAAAAATGCATTAGCTGTTTTCCATGCATTTATTCTTTCACTTATACGTTTCAAGTTTTCTTTCTTTTTTTGCAGTAGAGCTTTTATTCTTTATTCTCTCAGTTTTCTTATTCTTTGTATGCGATTCTTGATTTTTTTTATAAAAAATATTCTTCAATTGTCAAAAACTTTTTACATTTTTATTTAGTTTGGTCTAAATTTGGTTTCATCATAATTAAGTAGGCTTAGTGACCTTCTAAGTAGCACTGGCGACCCCTGGTGGGGGTCATGACCCCTCAGCTTTAGACATAATGTTGAACTGACACTATCTGTCCTCTAGTGTTTCGTGTTTCGAAACAACCTAAGATCTGAATAAAAGGTTTAAAAAAATAAATAAAAAAAAAACCTTTGTGTGATCGGAGAGAATTGTAATAAATTAAATCATAAACTATTCCTACATTTTTTTTACTGTTTTCTCAAATAATGATAAAACCTTTTACAATTAGCAGATAATCTGATTTTAGCATCATGTTTAAGTTTCTCAAAGTGATAGATATGGAGGACAGGTTCATGTATGTCCATGAGTTCCTCTGGAAAGAGTACAGTGTTTCTAAAGCAGAATCTATCATGGAAATCACTCACTGTCAGTGATGTCATGCAAACAAACACACATGCACGATTGTTTCTGTGATCAGACCATTGTGTTTTTCCTCTATAGTGGCACTGGGAGAGTCTTGAAGGCTTCGGTCTGTCTTCAGTGTTTCCCCTGTGAGCCTCAGCAGGGACAGATGGTTATGTTGGCTGACCGCTATCAAGTTTTAGCATTAGCATAATCATAGTGCTCTTCCTGACTCATCAGATTATCCACACACAGGCCTCTTGATCTGTTGGCATGGCGACTTCGTCTCCTGCTGTACGTTGGCATATTGACAAATGTTGTCAATGTATTTGTGAATGAATCAAGGCTGGATTAGTTTACATACAACTTCCTGTTCCTAGATGCTTCTCACAGCTCACATCTTTATCCTCTTTGGTCTTTAGCACTGGAGAGTCTTTGTGCCGTTGTGTTAAGATGCATGATGACACTTGTGGAGCTCACTGGTGGAGGCATCGGACTGGTTTTGCATGGATGCTTGTTCACACCACCTGTCCTTTCACACCCGTTCCAGTGAATTCATTTTCCTATGTTTGATTCCTAAGCTTGACTTGTCCTCGATGACAGACTGGCTCATCCCAGATTTAGAAAGTGACTGTTTGAGTGTGCTGCTCAGCAACCGCTCCAAGCAGAGCTGATGAAGTGGCCAGTGTGGATTGTAGTCATCAAACAATGTGTGGTATGACAGCTGAGGCTGAACGAACCTGAACAACTGAAGACAGGACGGTATGAAGGAATGAACAAATGAATCAGAGGTTCTAAATACATGGAAAAGTGGGACAGACATTGAAGTATCTCTAGCAGGTTTTCTGTAGTTAATGTGACTTGAAGTTTTACTTGGAAATGTACACTGTTCGCTTACCTGATTTCACCAAGTAGGACATGTTTCTGGATTAACATCTATGTTGGTCCTGGAACAACATTCCAATCAGCCAATCATAATTAAGGGATATGTTTACCAGTTAAGTTTAGGCTTAGTGTTAGGATTATGCCATACCTGCCAACACTCCCGAGAGTTTCCTGTATTTCCGCCACCCTCCCATTTTGTTATTTCTCCCGGAAAACTCCCGTAATCTCATCTTTGACCAAAAATGATGTTCCAGGATCATAGCAAATTCATGACATGCATGCACTATTATCCAAATATTTGGTCCAAATATTTTAAAATGCTTAACAAAGCTGTGTTTGTATTATAATTATACAGTCAAAATATTTGTACTACAATTTGATGAAATAGTGTTACAGTTTAGAGTAGTTTTTTTGTTTATATTATATATATATATATATATATATATATATATATATATATATATATATATATTTATATTTATATATTTTTTTATGTAACAAATTGGCAACAAATTTAATAAAGTTTAAAGAAAAAAATAACATTTTAAAAAAACATTTTACATGACTTAACTGTAGTTTAATGCAGCCTTTCTTAACGAAACACATTTCTTAATAAATTTTGTGCTGCCAAAGATATTACTCCAATGCCCCCAAAATTAAAGACATTTCACTTCCATATGAGCTAAAATCTTTCACTTTAAAATAAACATCTAAAGTGAGTCAGGGAATGAATTAATTTGGTCTGACCTTACCGGGCGCTGTGTAAGCTCACTGACACACATTGGGTGACAAACATAATATTGACAATCTATTGTCTGGATCAGAGCCCTGCAGGCAATCACAGCAGCCATCAGTGCAGAAAGTGACAGTGAGGCTGTGAGCATCAGCCCTGTGATACAGCCTGAGGCACAGAGACACTGGACTCCAGTGTGTGAGACCCAATCCTTTCTCTTCCAGATGGTCTGTGTGTGTGGAAGAGCACAGAGGACTGAGGAATCACTGAGATGGGGTTTGATGGCAGGATGAGGACAAAGTGATGTTTTGACTATATCTATTGACTGTAATGCTTTTTAAGCCAGTTTGGGGCCAGTTTATTGTCAGCATAGATTTCCACGAGTTACACAATGCAATATATTTTAAATCCTTTCAGACTCTCTTATTAGTGTGTAAGGTGTCTATTAGGAAGCTCATTTCTTCTTTTGTACTACATAGTTTTAAGCCTTAGACCTTGGGGGCTCTATTTTAACAATCTAAAGTCTAAATCATAGGGCGCAAAAGCATTAAGAGCATGTCTGAATCCACTTGCGCTGTTTTAAGGACAGATAAATACTCTGCACAGTGGTGCATGGTCTAACAGGTTTGAGCTTATTCTCTTAATGAGTTCAGGGTGTGTTTTGAGAAGAAACTAATCAGAGTCTCATCTCCCATTCCCTTTAAGAGTCAGTTTCATCGTGCCATGGCGCATTTGCTATTTACATGGCGGACATTGTAAGTGGAAAAACTGAAGGCTTCACTAGCGAGAAAACAGTTAAATAGATCTGTAGCACAAGGATAAAGAATGAGCCTCCTCCAATCAGCCTTTACTTTCACTTTCTCTTTCTTTCGTAGATAAGGAAATGGTGTTGTATGCACAGACATCCATTAGCCAACATAATTAATTTAGTTTGTTATGCAAAAAGATTTGTTTCAAAACTATTTCTAATTTCCAGCAAACTAATAAATGAATAATAATGAAGTGTGTTTAAAAAAAACTGAGTTATGTCCAAACACACATGTTCTATGACTTATATGGTCCAACACCCGACATGTAGACAAATCTAAGCTTGTTTTTAATAAAACTAATATAAATTTGCATATAATAAATAATACTGCTAATAATAATGACATTATACAAATGCAAATTGTCATGAAAAAAAACTTTTTAAACAGCTTTCCGAGATGAAGAAGGCATTTGTAATTGGTAGTAATACTTTATTACTTTATTCCATTAGTTATTTTTAATTTGTAACGATATTTGCCTATTGCTGTACATCCTGTGTGTTTTAAGCAATGTGTATGCGAGGCGCATAACTAACGTGCTCTGCTCAAACCTTAGACCTGCTTTCAGCTGGTCTATTGCACAGTCTATTTTAGTTTCTCAAAATAGCAATGCGCCAACAATGCGCCTTAACACACCTCTTTTCTAGACCAGAACGCCTATGAGTCCACAAAGTGGTGCAAATGGATTTGCTATTTAAACAACATGGCGGAAAATGGGGAAATTGTGTATGATATTGCCCTGAAAGTTAGAAGGAAACAGCATCTCCATGTTGTCATTATAATGAATATACAACAGCACAGCTTTTCCACTAAAGAACTGAATTAACACACAGCTGGCTTCTGCTGAGAGGAGAGGATTGGCATATTTATGCCCTCTCACAGTGAATGTAAATGTGTGATAAATGGGTTTTTCATTTGTTAAGTTACTTCATGACAATTAAGGTCTTCTTTCCAACTTGTTTTATTCTCATCATGTCATTTTAGCATTGTTTATGTTATATTGTAGATTGTATATATTGTAGCATTTATTAAAATTTTATATCAGATTTTATTTGCTTTCTTGATGTTTTACAATTTTTAAAGAATCTTTATGTAATGTTAAAAATCTGTCTGCTTTAAATTTTTATATTGGCTCAAATGAACTTCTAGTCATCTCAACTTTCATCGATGAAATAACAAAAAATGTTGAGTTAAACTTTTTAAAACTTAAACATGTAGTTGAAACTTAAGTTAAAGCAGCATAACATATTTGTTGCCTTGACTTTTTGTCATTACATTGCTTACAGTGCAGTG